TGTCCCGTTCCAGGTCACCGCTTTGGGGACTGTTCTTAATCTTGGAGGCACTGAGCTCTCAGCAGCGCTGCCTGAGGAGGTGCGTGCCCAGAGAGGCCAGGGCCACCTTCGGCAGAGCCGGACAGTGCAGCTCCCTTGCCCCAGGAGGGGTTGAGCGTCACAGCTGCTGCATATACACTGGTTCCGAGATGGGAACACGGGCAGTGAGGGGCTTGAGGTTAGTTGGACCAAACGCCTGCATCCCAACATGTTCCAGTCTCAGAAGGCACAGAGGACAGTTTGCGGGGGCCGAAAGGAACAGTAAGATGAGATGTCACTAGGGCCGAGGGCAAAGAGCTCTGGGACAGACTTGTTGTGGAACTGCCCAAGCCAGCATTCCCTGTCCCCCGGGAAACAGCCTCCCCAGGGCAGGTGGCCAGGGCCAGCCTGGTGCACACCACACTTGTCTCTTTGTAGTCAGAGCCTCAGGACAGCCCACTCCAATCCTCAGCAAACGAGGCAGCAGAGCCCCACGCAAGGCCATTAATTCCGTTCCAGGAAATTAAGTTTTAAAATTCAGCTGAAGGGGAAGCGTTGGTTGGAGCTGAGCTAACATGGGGGCCCCACTAAGGACAGGGTTAGGACAGGAGGGCAGTCGTGTGGGAGCCACATGGAAGAGCACCACCTGAGTCACTCCACGGCCGAGCGATAGAAAACCTCCCTGGCTGAAAGACAGCATCCAGACCAGGCCTGCCCAAAGCACCCTGTGCTCATCCAACATTAAAAAATAAAGCTTTAATGAACATCACAACAGCTGCTGAACAGAGCTTCTCTCTGGTCCTGCTCTGGCTCCTGTCTGTCCCCCCCCCTCTCTTTCTCTCTCTCTCTGCCTCAGTGTAGAAGTCAGCTTGGCTGCCTCACTATGTGTTCCAGATTGGATCAAAGCGACCTCCCAAATTATAATGCACTCAGAGGCTGGACTTTGGGAAGGTGAGTGGATCACACGCTGTACTCATGAGTGGATCAACCCACTGATGAATCCCCAGCTGACAGGGCTGAGGAGGCGGGCCCTGGCTGGAGGGGTCACTGGGGGCATGGCCTGCAAGGTTGGATCTCCCTCCTGGCTTCCTCTTCTCTCTCTGCTTCCTGATCCCCATGAGGTGAGCAGCTCTCCTCCACCAGGCTCTTCCACCTGCCCTTCCTGCCTCAGAGCTGCTGACCATGGACTGAAACTGAGCCCAAATAAACCTCTCCTCCTCTCAGCTGTGGGTGTCAGACACTGTCCCAGCAACACGAAGGTGACTAAGACAGTATGTAAATCTGCTCTTGGAGTCTTACATCTTGACCCCACTCACTGCATCCCATGGGTCAGTGCATGCTAGGCAGTGCCTCAGTTTCCCTCTGGGCACCTGGCTCCCCAACCAGCATAGGGAACGGTTGCTTCTGGGTGGCAAGGCCGTGGCAAGTCCCTCCAGCTGCAGCTGCAGAGGCAGGTACGAGTCTCATGGCCCAGAGCAAGGCTGTGCCAAGGGCCACCTCTGCCCGGACCCCTGTTCTGCAGAGGGAAGGTTCCCTGCGGTGGAAGCCAGGCAGGTGCAGTCCCTGCAGCCAGGGCATCCTAACTCCCCGAAGCCACAGCTGGCATCCTGACAACCAAGCTCCTGGCATCCCTGTTCAGAACCCAGGGCTCCTCAGAAACCAGGTGCTGGGTGCCCAGCTTTCTCACGAGAAGCCTCCCTCCCTATGTGCCGTACCCCACAGATATCCTCCTGACTCCACAGGGCGCCCTCCCAAAGGTCCTGGGGGCTGGGAGCCCGCAGGCCCGGATCACAGGGGCCAAGCACATCCGGGGCTCCCACCAGGCGCCTCCTCTGGCCTGGTGTGGATCCCGGAGGAGCAGCCCTGTGTTGGGGACTGCACCTCCGGAGACAGCAGGCGACGCGCCTCCCCTCCCATGTGTGCTGTCCCCAACCCCGGCCCTGTCCCACTTCCCTCACCTCTTCCTGCGGCCTTGAACCCTTGGCTGGGATGAGCTCCAGGTCCCCAGGCCCCTCTCTGGACTACAGCAGAATTATAATTACTGCTATTTTGTGTGTGTGGTACTGGGAACTGATTCCAGGGCCTTCACGCGGAGCTCCATCCCCAGCCCACTTTTTATTTTTTATAAGATAGGGCCTCACACTCTAACTTGCCACCCTGCAGCCTCAGCCTCCCAGGAAGCTAGGACGATAGGTGTGCGGCACGCAGCTGCCCCAGGAGGATGCGTGACTGGTGGGGCCCTTCCGTCTCTCACCTGAGGCAGCAGCCACGGCTCCTGGCCCTCTGGGGACACTTTTCCAGCTGCCCGTGCACAAGGCCACTACCCTTTTGGATGCCACTCCTGAGGTCGCCTGCGAGTGCTGGGGGTCCTGGGACCAAGAGCCCGAGCCTGAGCCTGCGCCCGCGCCTGCGCCAGACCCAGCATTCTGTCTGGGGATGGCAGGGCCCACGTGGCGATTCTAGAAAACCAAGGTGCAGATGCTGATTGCTCAGTGCAAATTCTGATCTCTCTGGATCCTCCCAAAGCCAAGGCCTTGGCTGTTGCCGCAGCCCATGCTGTGCCCAGCTGTGTCCCTCCTGAGACAGCCAGTGGGGGGTCTGGAGCAGGGGCTGGGAGGCTGCTGGGACGCTCAGAGGCCTGCACAGCCAGCCGTGCCAAGCCTCAGGGAGCCGGGGTCACCGGACTCTCTGTGACATCACAGGGGGCCATGGAAGATGTCACCGAGCTGGGGCTGGGGCACAGGATGGGGGCACTGCTGATGGGGTCCTCTGCGGGCTGTGCAGGGTATGTCTGTGCGGGACCCTGGACCACCTGCTGCCACCCGGGGCCAGGCCCAGCCAGGGTTCACCCCAGCAGCACCTCTCCCCACCCTGCAGGCCCTGCACTGACCCCAGACACACAGGCCGTGTCCTGGCCTCCAGGACCCCAGTTGTGTGTGTGGGGGGGTGGGCGCCCCCCTGTTGTCTGTTTGTGGCCACAACTGCGAAGCACACAGCAGGCGTTGAGAGCAGCTGAGAACAGCTGAGAACAGCTTCGAGGCGAACTCAAGACCCAGAGCATCTCACTCAAAGGGGACCCTTGTGACCGAGGCCCACTGAGGCACGGAGAAACCAGGACCCCCACAGCAGGGACGGTCAGCCTTGCGCCTCCAAGCCAGCAGAGCCCGGGTCCTGGCTCAGAAATCTGAGGTCTCCCAGTTTTCCTGAGCCTGTAATTTCCCAATGGGCCACAAAGCTGTTGAAAATGCTCTACCGAGGCTGGGCCTGGTGACACAGGAGGCTGATGCAGGAGGATAGCAAGTTGGAGCCCAGCCTGGGCAACTCAGTGATTTGGGAGACCCTGTCTCAGAATAAAAATAGAAAGGGCTGGGGATGCAGCTCAGGGTGAAGACCACACATGCGCACACACAGACAGAAAACTACCCTAAAAGCACCAGGCTGAAAATACCAGGTTACAACCAAGAACAACGACCGGTTGCTTCATACAAGCTGTGCTAAGTGAGATCTGCCCGCCTGCACCTGCCAGCCCCAGTCAGCCCGACAAATCATGACCAAAAAGGAGACACCAGCACAAGGTCCTCAAGGGCAACAACACAGGCCCCGAGAGAAACACCAGCAGCGACATTCCTGGGTTCTCTTGCTCTTAGGGTGCCAGCTGAGCTGCGGGTGGAGACTGCTTTCCTTGCCAGTCACTCCAAGGGCCAGATAATGTTTTCCTGGTCTCATTTAGGGTGGGAAACTCTGTGAACAGCCTCAGCCCCAGGGCACAGGCAGCGCGCGCGTCCAGGTCCTTATTTGAAGCAGAGGTCGTGGGAAGCCAGGCGTCACCAACGCACTCAGACACGTGACAGAGGCCCTGGGCAGCACAGCTCCCTGACAAGGGACACTGACCTCATGTTCTATGCCTGGCACGGCCAACGTGGCTGCCCAGGAGTGTGCGGGCTCTGCAGCCGGCAGGCTTAGGACAGGGCCTGCGTGCCTGGGCAGACGTCTGCAGGGCAGGGGCTGCTGGTCTGCATGGAAACACAGGGGCGGTGAGAGAAAAATGACCATAGAGTGAACACAGAGACCCGCTCCATGGAGAAAGCACCCTGTAAACGCCAGGGGTCACTGTGCTCGCTGTTGGACTCCCCCCCCCCCCCCCCGGCCACATGAGCTTGGTCCCCAGAAGGGAGCAGCGTCTCTGCTAAGTCGAGGGAGCGGCTGCCAGCGACTTCTCATGTGATGGCTGAGGCTCCCTGACACCCTCTTCCTAGCTAGTTCTACTTGAAAGGAGAAACTGTGTTCACAAAGGAGTCATCACCTTGGGGCCAAGAGGAGGTCACATTCAGTCAGGACCACGGGACGGGGACCCTTCAACTGTCCCGTCCTGAAGGTCCATGCTTCCCCTCTCTCTGCTTCCTGGCTGCCCTGGGGTGAGCAGCTTTCCCTCCGCCAGGCCTCTCCACCCTGCTGTTTCTGCCTTGGAGCAGCTGAGCTTGGACCGAACCGTGAGCCGAAATCCCTCCCTCAAGTGTGGGTGCTGGGAGCTGTGTGCCTGTACTGAGAACACTGACTAACGCACAATCCCAGAATTACTGAGTCATGTCGGTGACCTGGCAGCCGCATTTCTCTCTCTTTTTTTTTTTTTGGTACCAGGGATCGAACTCGGTCCTTGCGCTTGCAAGGCAGGCAGCGAAACCACTGAGCTAAATCCCCGGCGACCACATTTCTCTTAAACAACTAATCCGCATCTTTAAGCACCAAATTGTTATTTTTCTAAGCCACAGCTATGAGACTCTTTCTGAAGCAATACAAGCCATGGTAAGTAGAATTCAGGATAACGCATTTAAAGGCCTCATATGACAACAAGCAGAGCAGTCACCGGCAAAGAACATGCGGAGAAGATCTCACATTTCCCTCCCATTTCTGGACAGCAGTGCACCTGCGCATCTGCCCAGAACCATGACCGAGCACCCAGCCGTGTGGACCGGCACACTCACCTGCTTCACGGGGGCCTGGCTTGGAGGTAAGGAGCCCGGTGCGAGCACAGGCGGGCTCCTGGGCCCACAGAGCTCGGGAAACGGGTTGGGGATGGCTGGCAGAGACGAGGTCCGGAACTGCTGGTCCTCCTCCTGAAGGCGCCTGTGAGGAAGGAGCCAAGTCGGGTTAAAACTTGCCGTTGCAGACACAACCCCACACTGCTACTAATGTGTCTACATGGAAAAGCGCTACAAACAGGGTTTTGACAGGTATTGGAGTTCACCTGCTCATGACAGCATCATTCACAGTAACCAAAAGGCAGAAGTAACCCAAGCATCCATTAACATATGGGTGGAAAATCAAAGTGTGGTATATCCATATGATGGAATATTACAGCTGTGAAAAGGAAGGAAACTCAGACACAGCCTACAACATCTTAAGGACATCATGCTGAGTGAAATAAGCCAGCCATAATAAAAGGTCAGATGCTGGCTGATTCCACTTACAGAGGAGCTCAACTAAAAGACGGGCCGAGGGGAGAGGGGATGAGCAGTTGCTCAGCAGTGGGTGGAGTTTCGATCTCCCAAGATGAAAAGTCCTGGAGACGGGACAGTTCTGAACGGGCAAAGCCCCACTGAAATGTACACTTCAACATGGTGCATATGTACACTTCATGTTTTCTGTATTTTATCACAACCAAAGAGCTTTAAAAGAGGCTGTCATGCCTCTTTTCCAAATCTCTTCCCCTCAGACCCCTGGGACACAGAGGTGGCTGTGCAGACTCGCGTGCACATCATGTCCCACGTGAGGCTCAGTGTCTGTGGTGCAGCAGGCGCTGTCAGCGGATGCTCATGTGTGCAGGGCTTGTGAGGAAGGGCATCGCCGTGAGAACAGAAGCCAGGCCAAGGCCTTGAGATGAACCAAGCAGAAACACCAGAAGAGGCTCCCATGTCCCCGCTGCCTGTGGAGTGGGTACTTATTTGCACCGATATGCCACGGACACTGGACCAACTGGAAACAAGCAGCACACATCTGTCCTCCTGCTGCAGGGTCTCAGAAATGCCAGCCGAGTGACAGACACCCCTCTGCCATCCTGGCCACCTCCTCCGACTCGGAGAAGCATGAAGCCCACACAGCACACAGCAATGCAAACGCACACAGGACGGGAGTGGGCGCACCACTGACCTGGCAGAGAAACCAAGTTCAAAACCAAAGCCGGAGTGCTGCACAGCACCCTGTGCTTTCTCCTGAGGCCCCACAGCAAGTCCCTGCCTGTACCTATAGGCCTGCCCAGGGGATGGTCACCCCTACACCCCCGTGATCCCTGGGACCCAGGACTGACCCTCCCTCTAGGACAGAGTTCGAACGGTGTGGCAGAGCTCGGTCCCCCAGCATGGCACTCGGCACTCCTACCCTCCCGTCTAAATCCAGGCTGGGAGCCCCCTGCATGAGTGTGCTGTGTTTTCAAATAGCTTTTGTCTTCTTACTACTTTTTCCGTGTGTCAAAGCAATGCGCTGGCTTCCGGGGGCGGCCCTTAGAGAAGGCCACATGGCTGGGCTGCGAGCCTAGAAGGCCCACCCTGCCGAGGGAATCAGGGTGCAGCGAGGACAGCCTGACAGGGAGCCGGCAAGGGCACTCCCACTGCAAGCAAATCGCACTCTGCCCACAGCACCAGTGTAGCTCAGGGCGGGGCCTGACCAACCCCGGGGTGACTGCCGCCGTCCCCACTCGGCAGCACAGCCTGGGCAGTTAGCAGTGACTGTCCAGACTATCTGCTGCCTGTAGCTTCTCCCACACACCCTGATGCCTGGCACAGCGCCGGGGACCTCACTCAGTCCCTGCTCGCCCATCACCCCCAGCCGGGACAGCCGCGTTGCCCACCTGACCGGGAGGATGTGCACTGGCTGGGAGCGCTGCACCCTCGGCCGGGGCGACATGGGTGGCGGCAGGGGCCGCAAGGTGGGGGCGGGCAGCTGGCCATGGGCGTGCTGGCCATTCTGGGGGTGCTGGCCATTCTGGGCGTGCTGGCCATTCTGCAGGAGGGGCACGGTGTCCGAGTGCATGCTGCAGGGTGAGAACAGGCCCTCCAGGGACGCGTTCATGTTGTTCACCAGCGCTTCGAGGTCCAGGTCATCCTCTGTGGGGGACAGGGCGAGAGTGGAGGGTGTTAGTGGCGAGCGTGTCCTGGGGTCCCCAGACCAACAGCAGTTCCTGAACATCACAGGAGGGCAGAGCCCGCCACAACCACTGCGTCCCAGGTGCAACTCAGGCACAGCCGGCTGTCCCGGGAGAGGCCACACGGTCCCCCCTTCCTTGCCTCCTCCCCACTGCCAGCTGGACTGTCCCCACATGGGCAGGGAACCAGAAGCAGGCCAATCAGACCCTCTCCTCAATGCTGGTACTGAAATAAAGTGAAGCACAGGTTGGCGCAGCGCAGCCAGCTGGGGCTCTGGCAAGGTCTGGACATGCGTCGCCTGGATCCACTCACCCTGGGTCAGCGGCTCTGTTCAGAGCAGCTTAGACTAGCACTGTAAAGCAATCTAGGGTGCCACGTCTCTCCCTGAATGGACCACAGCAGCACCAAGACCAGGTGAAGGACTCTGCGGCGACCACAGAGCAGGTCCTGGGAGCGCAGGTGCCGGACCGCGCCCGGGTGCTGCTGCATGGAGGAGCAGGGAGCAGCCTGAGGGACTGTTCCCTCCGCATCCTGCTTTAGGACTCGCAGCTCCAGCACAGGTCTCCCTGAGAAAATAACACGTCCCAGTTTCCCAGCGGGTTCTCGCTGGCAGGCACTTTCTCCGGGAATCTGGGATAGCCCTCTGCTGCACCCTGGGTGCGAGCCCCCAACTCTCTGGTTTCTGCTTCAGTTCCGGCTCAGGCAGGCAGGTCATCCCAGGCTGTCAGGTCAAATGCAAAGCAACCCTTCTTTTGGGCGGTGCTGGGGATTGAACCAGGGCCTTCACACTGAGCTAACCCTCAGCCCTCCACCCTTCCTTTTTGAGACAAGAGTCCCGTTAAGTAGCTCAGCCTGGCCTTGAGCTTGCAATACTCCTGCCTCAGCCCCACAGATCTGGGGTTACAGATGTGCGCCGCCACGTCCAGCTAAAAGCAAAGCAATACTGATACCAAAGCAAAGTAAGGTGAGTGGCTGCCAAGAGGGAGAGCCAGTCCTCACAGGGCTGTGCAGACAGCTGCTTGCACTCCAATGCATTTATCAGGTAGCTTTCAAACAAAGCCAGTTAATCTGCTAACAATCATGGAGCAGGTTATAATTTTCAGGATTCAAGTCCAACCTGTATACCTGGGTGCCTCAAATCACACCTTCCACAGCCATCAGAGCAGAAGTGAAACTTTTTAAAGGGTCTAAAAATGCCCTCCTACAGAATCAGCCCCGAGATACTCCGTGGGGACAACTGGCACTTAACTACTCGGATGATAAAATCACTGTGGTCAGCACATTGTACTTAAACTTTCTTAAATTCTAGTGTGGATCAAAAATCAGCCCACACAGGGCTCTTTAAGGGCTGACTCTAGACGAGATACTTCACATTCTACACCAGTGGCTCCTGTCAATTGCTAGAGTAGGCTGTTACTGAAATCACACTCAGCTCTGGCCCATCAGCCAGTCCTTCTCAGCAAGGACCTGAGGACCCTGTGTCCCTCCACCTGTGACCAGCCACTAAATTATTTTCCAGTCCCAAGAATCCAGGAGGATCAATAATCACCCACTAGTGAAAAGTTTTTTAGCCAAGTAACACGAGTGCCCTGGCGATGAATGCTCACGCTGAGTGTCTACTCCATGCTAACCTGGTGCAAAAGCGTCTTTCTGAGGCTGCCCCTCTGCAGCAGGTCCCTGAAGGGAAAAGGGAGTGATTTTATATATAAAACGCCATGTTTCACAGATCTGTAAGAATGTATTTATTGCCCAAATATAGGTCAGACCACATGGCTGTCCATCAAGTTATTCATAGTTATTTTCCTTCTTTAAATAGCCCAGGACAAAGCTGGGCATGGACTCTGCCCCAAATATCCAGGAGCTCATGGCATCTCAAATTCAAATCTCTCCTGTCTCACCGTCATTAGCATGTGGAGCATGGTTTCATTCTAAGACAGATTCGCAGTTGGCTAAGAGAACAGTGCAAAGAGTGTCTGCCGCGTGAACCAAGCAAGGTATGCAGACCAGGAAAGGGTGAAGAGGAGGAAAGGAGACAGAGGGAGTCTGGAGCCCTTGCTTTCTGGTGGAGGACCACAAATTTCCTAGTTCACAGCACCATCTAGTGTCTTCTTTGTTAATTAGGGATCAAAGGCAACACAGGTCACATCCCTGGATGCTTCCGGGGTCTTAAACAGGCGCCACTTGCACTGCGTTGGAGACGAGGCTGCTGTGGAGCCCCTGGTGCTGGGCCGCACTTTCCCTGGGTCCTCCCTCCGCCCTTTCCTAGTGATTTCCACAGAAAAACACACACTGTCCCATAATGAAGGGCGCGAGCAAGGCTGTGCACCATGGACGGTTAGAAAAGAGTCGTCTGCAAAGAAAACCCAGGCAGTGCGAAAGTCAGACACAGGTGCAAAGGCTGAAGTCCCTCTGCATGCAGACCTGGAAAACACTGAAGGCCAAGCTACTCCCCTGACGCCTAACTGATGACAGCCTCATGCAGAGGTGGCTTCATGTTCTGCAGAAATGCCTCTTCACGCCCACATCCACACACCTCTGCTCAGTGCGCTCTGGACGACTGCTTTTATTCCTCCGTATGCACAGTATGGGCAAAAGAGTAGGAAAATCGAGCACTGCACTGGTGGAGTATTCTTTTCTAAGAGATTCAGATATTCAGCCAATACAAAAGCAAATGGGGCCTGGGGATGTAGCTCAGTAGCACCATGCCTGCCTCGCAAGCACAAGGCCCTGAGTTCAATCCCCGGTACCAAAAAAAAAAGGCAAACTGTCTCATCATAACTGCAAGTGAAAACACAAATGCATCATCAGGTCCCTAGCATCACATTGCAGAGGCGGAAGTGGACTGGGTATGGCCAGGGGGAGGGTGCAGCTGGCATTAGGTGGGTGGGGAGAGTTTCAGAAGGGAAGGCAACAGGAGCTCTGTGGATGCATGCTGGGACGGCTGCACAACCTGTGACCGCTGTTAGTGCCACTGAGCCGTGTGACTTTTAAAATGGTTAAGATGCTAAGTTTTATGTTGCGTGTGTTTTACCACAATTAAAATATTTTAAAAAATAAAATGGTTTAAAATTGGATTTATTAATATCCGCAAGCATGGTCAATTGCAGTCTTAGTCTTACTAATCCACTTGGTGCTTTCGGAACCTCTGACTTAACCTGTCTCAGTGGAACCCAGTGCCAGTGGCTCAGACCCCAGGGACAGAAGCCTGCTCACTGGATGTCACCTTCACTGTTCACTTCCTGCCCACCCACTTTATAGTCATTTTCCTGCCACTGGGACACAACACACCCATAGCTTAAAGGAGGAGAGGTGTGTTTTGTTCACCTCTCTCTGTTTCCAGTGGTTTCAGTCAATGGTGGGCTGGCTCCAGGACAGAAAAGCATGGTGGAAGGGCCTGGTGGGGGAAAGCTGCTCACATTATGGTGGCCAAGAAGCAGAGAGAGAAGGGGGACCCGGGGACAAGTATGCAGCCTTCTAGGCCTTCATCCAGGGCCTACCTCCTAACGGCACACTGAGCTATGAACGCATCCACAGATGAGTCCATTGATGAGTATGGTGCCCCATGATCCAATCACCTTCCACACACACGAGACTGGGGGACACTTGAGATCTAAACTGTAATGCCCACAAAGGCCCCAAGGTTGCCCCTTCTGTTGGACAGAAGGTCTCCCTTGAGCCCGTCTGCTGACCCCAGCCCTACAGGGGGCGCCCCTCACAGCAAGCTCATGGCCAGCATGGGGCCACCACGTTCTCACCACTGTTTCCTTCTCACCTGGACCTCTGAAACTTGGCTTCCTCCATGACCAGAGCTGAGAAAACCCAGACATGGCTGTCACTCAGGGCAGCTAGAGCAGGGCTTGAGTCAACAAGTCGGGCTGCAATGTGCCTTGGGTGAACAGTGGCGACTCTGGGCTTAGCTGTGGAACAACGGCAAGAGGCACTTCTAGAGAAGAGGTAGGTGTTTGACCTCAGCTGTGGGCAAGGACCTGGTGGGAGGCAAAGTAAGACTCAGCAAACTCCAAGGCTGATGAGGCTCAGTGTGACACGGTCTGGCTCACCGGGTTTCTCCAGGTGATGCTTCTTCAAGGTCCAGGACAAGGCGCTCTATCTCTTGACTAAGCTGCAGGAACACAAATTCCTCTCCCTAACGAAAGTAAGAATCTGTAATATGAGTCTGTATCCTTTTTGTGCAAAGCTTTACTGCCTGTGGAGGGTCAAGAAATAGAATTTGCATAAGTGCAGAAAGTCTAACTGTTCTTACAGACAGCAAACAGCTGCTTCCCCAGGGGCAGCCAGGGGCACAGGCTAGTGTCTAGGGCAGATTTCAGAATCAAATGCAGACAGCCCAGTGGCTAGATAACTCTACCTCTGCAATGCCACCAGAAAAGAAAAACAAAAACAACAGATAATGATTCATCACACTGATCTCCGTAAGTTTTTTTTTAATCTATGTTTTAGGCAGCTATTAAAAAATTCTATTAAAAAATAAGGAAAGTAATTCCTTTTATTCCACTACTCCACAAGACCAGGTATCCAATGTTCAGCAAGTGTGGCTCGTGAGGTATACAAAGTATCCGCTCTCGATCTCATCCTGCCACACTGTCGCAAGGAACACTGGGCATGACTTCAGTCTCTCCTGGTCCCTAAGTCTGTGTGGACCCTGCACCACACTCCACAGGAGAGAACTTTCCACTACCATAAAGGCTGAGCCTGCCAGTGTTGGAAGCCAGGACCTGCAATGCAAATTACATTTTAAAGGCACAGATTCAGTGACACTATTTTCTACTTGTAATTTTAGAAGATGCTGGGGGTGAGGAGAAGAGAGAAACCTAACCTGAAAATATCATTCCATGAGGCGGAATGAAAGATAATCTCGAGTCTTCTTGAGCAATTCAACCTGCTTCTTTCCTACCTTCTGATTTCAATCGCTAATTCTTCTGTTACACCATAAATCAAGCAGG